ATTCAGTATTAGTTATTCTGGACTCACTGATTTGACAGATGGTGGCATCTTAAAAAATAACTGCCGACGTTTCAGCCAAACTTCATTTGCCATTCTTAGGGCAAAGTTTTGTTTGCATTGAGGATAGCCAATCATGTCGAAACATTACAATTCAGACTTTACCGTGTAAAGCTCTTAAAACAGCGTCTTTATTAAAGATGACAGAATACAGTGAGTTTTAGAAATGTACAAATATATTATAGAAGTGGGAGAGGTTGTACAGTTGTTAGAAATCGGCTTCGTACTTACGATCGGCTTCATACTTAGGGCAATTCTCTTGAACAAAAAATCACTCACGCTGCTTTGATGCAACGAGTTGAAAAATTGATAGCAATTTTCGTTGACTTTGCAACAACGGGGGACAGCACATTTGATTAGTGCCTCTTATAGTTGCAGTTCGTTGTGGCCCATCTGAGAGCTGATTGTCCAGTTTAATGATTGTCACAAGATACAAACCTCACAACAAAATAAAGTTGAGCTTCAGACAAACATACCCCAAACACCTTTTCATTATGCGCCGTTTGAATTTTAATTTTAGACAAATCGTCAGGTATATCAGTATTTCTAGGTTTTAAATCAATAAGTCAAGAGTGGTATGAGGAGGTTTCGGTTTCTTGAATCTTCGACTTGTTTCTTTGACGCATGATTTTAGGAAGCCCTAATGTAAACCAGAAATGGAAAGGTTTTACAAACAGTAAATAACGCGTTTCGTTACAAACACCGATTAAATTTTCAAGAATGAAATGTTTTTCGTTCGTTCAATTATTCATTGATTCACTCCTAACAATCTTGCCGGTTTTGGTGGCGAAACACGTCGACTGCATTTAAATCTTTTCATTTCTACTTTAGGTTTGTCTCAAAAGCATTTCGTGATAAATTGTAAATCCAGAGTCAAAAATCAAACTCCCATAAAAATTCTTGATTCTTACTCCGTCGTTCGACTAAAATTTTTATCAGTTTTATGTATCTGAATTATTATGTATCGCACAGTGCCACAAGCTTACGCGTCTGTTACTGTTTGCCACTGCAGCCTCTTCTGTGTCTTTATGGCAAAAATTGGAAGACGGTTAGAAAAATCAAAATATTTGCATGTTAAACGTACAGCGTTCCTGTAATTATTAGTTTGATTTTTCAGAAAATGTATCTTTATTACTACCTTAACGAGAACGGAAAACGAGTCTATACTTTTCAGGTAAAATACAATATTTGTTTCATAACAGTTTTTGTATATATTTTTGATTACTGAATATCATTTTTCTAACTTCAGGTTTATTCTGTGATACGTGTTTGCAAGGACTCTTGCTACGTTAGTTGCTGAAATAACGTAATATATTATTATAACATGAAAATGAAGAGTAGGACAGGTTGTAATTGTTGGAATGACAGGATGTAAGTTATACTTTCATGAGAGGAATCATATTCATATTTCGCACCATTCTTCCAGGATATCATAATGGGAGGCTGATTTCCGTTTCAAAGAGCGTCAGTCGGACGTGTATGTCACAGCAGTGAGCATAGTTTCTGCGATGAAATGACTGATTAATATTGGTCCAAGTGTTATTTGTCGATTGATTTTTAAACTAAGGACTTATCAAGAAACTCTTTAACCTGTTTTGATATGGTTAATTGTTTAATTTTCCCAGCATCCAATTTGAAACCGATTTCATCGCCCAGTCTTGAGTGATGATGAGAACGATTTGCAATATAGAACCTTTAAACAATGCACCAAGTGACGAGAAACTTAGAAGTTAATTCATTCAGCAGGTAAACTTGTCATTGGTTTAAAAAGTTATGCTTGTTAGATCGACTGATTTTATGAACTACTTGGCATAGGTACCGTTGTAATGTGCATATTAATTCAATAGCAGTTTAAAAGTTTTTTGAAATTAATTTAATTCCTGTTTATTAGACGACATTTGAAAATGGCTTGTTGCCGTCGTCAAGACTGTTTTACCTATCTTGGCGAAGAGCATAAAACTTTTGACGGCGATATGCGTTAGCAGCGTATTCCAGGCTAGGCTGAGTTTTACCACTCGTGTAAAACCCTGTCAGTAAAATTTGCTGTACATTCCCACTCTTTCTGGATTTGTATGGGTCATTATGCAGTCTTTAATTTCAGACTGCTGCGTAATAAAATTACCTGGCTTGAGGAGTTTGTTGATTCTAAAATATTTACATATATGTTTTAGCGATATCATCGAATGAACCTGTGACATAGTTATGTTTTAGAAAGTGGATCCAGAAGGAAAGCCCACCTGTTGCGCCCATCCAGGTAAATGAGTTGTATTGTTTTTGTAGTTGATCTTAAAAGTAATTTTGAACTGGCTACATGAGAAAGAAACTAAACGTATAAAGCAGTAATTTGATCTTATCATTCTTGCCTGATCTTAGGATCGCGAAGACATTTGAAAGCAGGTAAGGAGGGGGGAGGAAAATGAGAATGTGATTAACGTCGTGTAAGTCCTTGGAAGAAACGTACGGCTATGTGAAAAACTGCTCTTTATAGATAGTCCCTGAATGTCGTAGAAGACTCTTAAATAATTAAATAATTCTGATACTGCATTTTAGTCGAACAGAGATTCATTAAATTCAGGGAAGTAACTGATCTATTTAGCTAAAGTAGTATACTAAGTTTATCGAATGTGTATGATTCTCATAAACATGT